AATAAATGCGTACCTGCATAAATATACATACTCCTTGCGTGTCGACTGAGCCATCACTATTAATAAACGGAGGTTCTCGTCTCTTCGCGAGTCTCGACAGTCGATACTCGAGTCCGTTAGCGGCTCGCGCTAATTCGCCTCGGAGAGACCTCTTTAAAAATATATTCCCGGTCGTTACGCCACCAGGAGTCGCCATTTTGCGAGCCGATTTCTCGAGCCGTGGCGGGGGTTCGCGAGGAAATCGGCGAAAACCGATTGACTTTGGTTTCTATGACGAACGGTAACGGGATTTGGGAACGAGTCCCGCTCGACCTTAAAATTCTGACGTTTCGGTGACTTCCAACAATTTCCAGCTGATCTCGAGTATCGAAATCCATGATTTAACGAGTTAATAATCCCTCGCCCCGAACAATAAGAGAAACGCGGACGCTTTGCGCCGATAGTTACGAGCCGTTGGAGAGATCGGTGACGCAGGTGGGAATTGTTTCGCTTCGTTTCCGAGAACGTTTACGTTCCCGAGCGTCGCGACGTCGACGGCGGCCGTTCCGCGTAATCGCGACCCGCGATGCGACCGCCACCTGTTATTCCAGTCGGTAATTCGAGCTCGCGTGCGCGATTCCACGCTCGATTCCACGCTCGATCGGGTCGGCATTGATCGTGACATTCGCGACCGGATATTTTCGCGACGGGCGAGTCCTGGTTATTCCGCGGTTCGCGACCTACGAGGAACGTCGCCGTTCGCGAATTCCGTGGTGAGTTTCGCGATGCGTCTCGCGGTCGTCGCGGGTTGCGCAATCCATTAGCGGCCGTCACCTAACCTCCCTCTTCTCGCCGCACCGGCCTAGCCGAAAGGTGATACGCCTACGACCCGAGGACGCGTTTTCGAGTTCGACGTTGCCCCGATATCGAACACCTGCCGCGCGTCCTCTCCGGACCCTCGAGGCCGCACTCCGCGGGAGGAATGCAACTTCACCCGTTTGCCTTGTCCTAGCGAAACGAAAGTGACGTCAAAGCGTTCGTGAAACTTCTCTTTCAAATATCGTTTTTAATCGGTATTGGGAATGGGCTTATAAATTGTCGGGACGTTTAGTTTTAAAAACGGACAGTTTTGCAGCTTTGAAATTTTCGAGGGGGGAAATTACCTAAGAGTTCCTTGACCCCCTATGGTGACATTGCACTCCCGCGACCTTTAACTCGAAGCGTATCGAAGCGTTCCATGTGTAATCGCATCCGGTATGCGGACGCCTGACGACCGCATAAAGCGATCGACGCGTTTTTAACGCGCGGTCGACGGGGGCATTTACCTGTTATATTTAAGACAATCGTAAATTCTTTTAAAAAAAATTTTTTCGACGCTGCAAAGCGATTCGCAAGCATCGTTCCTCGAATCAACGTTCCGGAAATAGATGGGGAAAAAAATAAAAAAACGCGTCACGCGAGGCGGCAGAGCCTATACGGTGTTACCAGGGGTGTTAACCGTACCGTTGTTATAAAATTTGTCCTACTATTTTTAATCCAACCGTAGGCGAGTAAACGGAACCCGCGACAGGATCGTAACCTCGCGCACCTTCGGTCCCGACCTGTCCCAATCGAATCCTGAACGATACCGGGATTCCAGCGTGGATGTTCGCGGTGGACGGTCGTGAAAGGTTGCCGCGGGGCGAAATAGAAATCTCCGTCGTTTGCGCTCGAGGCGCCTTCGTTACGGCACCGGGAGAGCCGTTTGCGATACTAACCTAACCTCCCCCGATTATGGAATCGAGTGGATATTTGATCGTACAGGTGAATTTCCGTAAGGTTTCGAGCTGGAAAAATGATGCGACGTTTCCGAATAAATTCATGCCCATTTTCACGCGTTCGCCCGAAAGTTTCTCGTTACGACCGTGAATTATTTTTCCACACGTAGGCCGGAATCGAATCGAAGCGGACCGGACCGGTCCATGGGCGCGGCCTGGCCGATTCTTGGCCCCGCCCAAACCCCATGGTCCACGCCATTCCCTATGGGGACGGAAATTCCCTTGGACGTCTCCCCTCCCGAGTGCAACCGATCTTTCTCGCGCTCCGGGCGCTGTTCCGTGCCGTTTCCCCCGCCGGCAGCGCTGGCGGTTCCGGGGCGATTCCGCCGCGGTCTCGGCTCCTCTCCTTGTCTTGGCGCTTACGTAACTTCCCGCGTGCCGCGTATAAGGAAGTCAAGGATGTTTGAAAGTGCAGTCATTACTGCGCCCGCCTAAGTGGAATTCTTTGAGGCCGTAATCGCCCTCCTCGCGCCATCGTCCACCCGCACGGGAAAAAAGACATTTGCGGCTTCAGCAAAGGACATCGTTGCCGATCGATTTTTGCGAGGAGTCGCTTCTTTTTATGACCGTGAATTCTTCTCTACGTGCAACGAGGCGCGACGCGATTCGCTTCGATCGAGTTCGGCAAACGTCGCCTGGAGAACGCGTTTCCTCGCCCTCGACCGTTTGCTCCGAAAGGGGGCCGTACGGAACGCGCACCTGTTGCGTCGAAAATTTTTCCCGCGAGGACGGATATACTTTGTTGACTCCGTTTATTTTCGGCGGGATTCACTAGGCGGTTTCCGAACGCTCTCGCTCTGAACGTTCCCTGCGCGAGTTCGGGCCCGGTACCCTTAAAAAAGTGTCGAGGAGGTTTCGCTTCGCCTTAAGAGGACGCTTCCGCGGACGCCCCCCTCGGGCGATGGGGCAACGAACGGCTCGCCGTTGGACGGAGGAACGGGAAGTCGGTTCACCGTTTCTCCGAGAGGCCGCAAACTCGTTCTCGGTCGACCGATCCACTGACACGGTCTCCGGCCGAGGATGCATCGCTCCCTCCATTTTGCGAAGGCATCTCTTGACGAGTCCTCGTCCTCGTCCTTTGATGGAAACACCGGCCGGTGACGTGACGTGGACGGAACGCGGGACGAACACCGACCGTATCCGTATCCGAGATTCGTCGACGCGGTGAAAGTTTTCCCGCGACCCTGACCTTGTCGAGGTGGATGAAATTTTCGCAAGGAAATTAATTAAACGCGGTTAACGTTAAATTCTGAGGCTTTCGTCCCTTGAGAAAAAAATTCATTTAACCGATGGAACGTTTCGTTCATTCCAAGAGTAATCATTTCTCTTGTTATTGACTCGAATAAACTGAAATTAATTGTCGAGCTCATCGAAAGAAATGAATTGGGCGTGTTTCTCGTAAATTTTCAATTTGTCGGTAGCCGTTCAGTTCTTGAACGGTATCGATGAGCTCGTTGTCGATCGCTCGATCCTTCTGGTCGCGATGTCAATGCCAAGGTCCGATTCGTTTCGCGGAGGACGAGCGGACGAAAGTCTTGACGCAAGAAGCAATTACTCGAGATTCGCGGCCGACCGGCGATGCGGAGCGCGATGAATCGGCACCGCGAGCGTTTCTCGATTTGCATTTGACCCAGTCCCGGCTTGGCTGGTCATTGGCCTCGTCCCATCGTTCCGCGGGCGGCCGTTTACGCAAACCCGCGTCGGCCGCCCACGTAACGCGCGTCGAGGCGTCGCGAAGACTCGCGACGACGCTAATTGTCGCGTCGACCCGTTCGCAGATTTCGGGTATCGTCTCCTGAACGCGTCCATGGACGACGTCGGAAAGTGGAGAGGGAACGGACCTCGAGAAAAAAAAAATTAATTTCACCAAAGAAATATTTCTTCCGCTCGATAAAATTTTTCTCTCAGGCTAAAAGAGAATATCGCAGCGGACAAATATTTCGCTGGCCCCACTTTCGAGCGTTCGCATTCGTTGCTGCAAAATTTTTTTTTATGACCGTGAAATCTTTTTCCGCGGGGACGGGTTTCGCTCGAAACTCGGCGAAGTCGGTCGACGCCGATCCGCGGGTACGTGCTAGAACGCGCCCGACGACGACTCCATTTGCAATTGAAATGGGTACCTCGAGACGAGACCAAGAAGCATCGGGAGGGTTTCTCGCGTTCGCGTACCTGACGTTCCCTTGTCATTTTCGAATACCTCCAAAAAAGGGTACTATCTACCTGGAGGACAAAAATTCATCGGCGGGACCTTTGACGCCACTTTCGTCTCACCTTAAAATCCATGATCTCCCGAGATAATAATCTCGATTGACGGCGCGCTCCATTTTTTTTTTTCTTTCCCCCATGGCGTAGTGGTCCGAATTATTGATCAAATCGAGTTAAGTCGAGTTAAATCGAGTCGCGGCGGAGGATTCGGGAAGGCATGCAAGAGGGGCGGACTTGCCAGTTTCACTAATCAGAGATTCTTCGCTCGACCTCGGGGCTTTCCCGTGTACCGCTCCGCCGCTATTCGGCTCCGCTTCCTGCGCGCGTCGCCCCCGTCCATACTAATGAAAGAAACCGCCTCGGGCCGCGTCGCGTACTCGCGGCCAAGCCCGAAGCCGGAGTCGAAAAAAACCGCGAGGAGCTTCTCCGACCGAGGCCCCACCAGGCGAATATTCGCGCGCGAGGTTAAGGTGAAGGGGAACGCGTCGAAACATTTTTTCGACGCCGGCGACGACGACGTATTTATATCGACAGCTGGGGAGAATTCCTGAATCCAGGGGATTTCTGGGGTTTTACTTCGATTTCTCCATAATTATTCTACGGAAACGACATATGGAGTATGCCATTTAGGGCAGTACCCGATGTCATTCTACCCAGTCGTCGATATGAATTCAAAATTCGGCAACGTAGATATTTATAAGTTCGACTTCACCTCGACTCGGGGTAGGCGATCGCTAATCGTAGGCGCGCGTGAATTATTGCCGTTAAACGGTTAACGATGCGGCCCGCATACGGGGGTTTACGCAGCTGCTCGCGGGATTTAATAGTCCGAACTCGAGTAGGAGGTGCGCCGTGGGCGGGTAAACGGAGTCGGGCGGTCGCGGGCCGGCCGAAGTCCCGAAGTCAGGGCTGCCACCGTCGCGATTCGGAGGGTAGGAGAAATTAGCGCGTGGACGCTCCTACGTTTACTCACGTGGAACTTGGATGTTTTTCTTACAGAACGCAAACTCTTCGTCGGCATGCTCTCGAAGAAGTACGGGGAAAACGACGTGCGAAGCATGTTCAGCGTGTACGGGGCTATCGAGGAGTGCGCCGTCTTGAGGGATACCGCGGGGCAAAGCAAGGGCTGTGCCTTTGTCACCTTTGCCAGTAAGCAGAATGCTATCAACGCCATTAAGGTCCTTCATCATTCCATTACGATGGAGGTAAATGATCAGTACCGAGAGACCTCGGTCTTAGCTTGTAACGACGCGAGCGTAGCCGTATAATTACCCTGCACCGAGAGAAAAAATTCATCGAACGAAAAAAATATTTGGTTGATTCAAGGGATCGTCATTTGACTCAAAGGGAATCGTTAGAATTCCGGAGAAACGTTCGGGCCTGGTTTATTCGAGTTTTTGTTCGAGTGAAATAATTATTTCTTGAATGAAGAAAATATTTCGGGTCGTTTCGAGGGATTCGGGCAGAATTTTCCGTGGGACGGGTCGTTGTATCCTCGAAAGGTGTCACGTCGGGCCGCTAATTGTTACGGAAAAGTCCGCCTTTGCGAGCGGGACGTTAGTCGAGGAACAGGAGGTGAATACCGAGGGGGAGAATCTGGCACCACCCGGAGAAACGTTTATTGCGTGCAAATGGCGACACGTCAGCCCCGCGCGAAAAATATGCGCGTTGTGCACCGGATGTCCAACCGTTGGACGAAAATGTCTGACGTCCGCGGATCGTTCCCAGGTCGGATTTAGCTTGGAAGCCCTCGGAATATTAAGGGGCAGGGAAACGCGCCGAGAAATTTGATCCACGTCTGTAAAAAAGGTTCTTCTCGAGGGGACTGTTCACTTGGAAATGTTCCTACGATTCCTAAAATTTCTTGTTACGAGGGTGAATTCTTTTTCTGCGGGTACGTTTCGTAAAAAGAGCTGCTTCGTTTCGAAGTTGGGATTATTTCCGGCTGGCTCCTCGGTGAATCCTCGCGGAACTCGTGCGCCCCCCCTAACGAATTGGGGCAATTGGAAACTTGGACGATTTTAATGTCGTAGCCGAACCTACATTTCTTTCTCAGGGATGCTCGTCGCCGCTGGTCGTGAAGTTCGCCGACACGCAAAAGGAGAAGGACCAGAAGCGGATGCAGCAGATACAGGCGAACCTCTGGAACATTGCAGGAGTTAACATGACGCCTCACTACCTTGCTACCGTGAGTTCCTCCACCCAGTCTTAAGGTGATACCAAAGGGTCATTCTATGTATACGTTAAAATATTTATAAAACTTTTCTCCAAACTGGGCGCTCTAGTCCGTGATAAAGAAAAAAAAATGTTGTCACCCGATGAAGTTTCCAACGAATCGATGCATCCAGTTTGGAGAAAAGTTTCATAAACGAGAGACCTCTTTGACGCCACTTTTGCATCACCTTAAAATCCACGATTTCCTGAGTGAATACAACCTCCTAATTTTCCCGCGTGAACTCGATCGCAGAACGACGCGCCTTCGCTCGCGCCAACGTCCCTTCAACTGCTGCAGCAACTGCAGGCAACTTCGAGTGCAGCGACGCCGGTGGGCGCGAGCGCGGGGGCAGGTGCAGCGGGCACTCTGTCGAGCGTGCAGCATCAGTTGCTGTTGCAGCAGCACCTAGGCCTCGGGGCTAGCACCCTGGCGCCGGCTGCACCCCCGCCAGTCCCGAGTCCATCCGAAATAAGTCCCGCGAACCTGCAGAGTCTGGCCACCCTGGCATCCCTCGGTAACTCTGCAGGTGAGTACGGTCAGTACCGATGTTAACAGCTACCTACATTGAGAAAAAACAAATTCACCGAACCAAAGAAATATTTTGATAACTCAAAGAATAATTAAAGTTTCGGACAGTTCGGTTCAATACTCTTGAAAAAAGTGTCTCATTCGAGACAACTGATTTGGGGACATTACAGCTAATGCCGGAGTGTCGCCTATGAGTATGCAGAACCTCGTTACTCTCGCTGCGATGACGGGAGGAAATGGAAACCTTCAAGTGTCGCCTAATAGTGAGTATCGATGATAACGGTCGAAGCTTCCTTGCGGATTCCGAGACGATTAACGATTAGCAGCTTCATCTAAAAGTCGACGGGATCGCATCCAGTATTGCCGTTAACAGTAGTTTAAAATTAGGTTTACTAATATTAACGGACTTGCCTTTTTGTTTGCATCGCTAAAAAATATGGCTCGATATTTTGGCTCGTAACGTTCTTAAGGTGATATGAAAAGGGTCATCTATATATATATCAAAGCGTGAAAATATTACAAATCTCCGTAAAAATTTCAGTTCGTAGAAAAGTTTCACAATCGAGACCTCTTTGACGCCCCTTTCGTGTCACCTTAATCGCCCTTTATCATCCGCCTCTCTGAATTCGGAGATGCACCTGTGCCAGGTACATTTACTCGTACCACGTGTCGAAACGTAAATGGGAGTCACATACGGCGTGACGTTGTTACGTGTACGATGCATATTGATATCAAGATCGAATGCTTTTGTATGTGTTTCAGCGCTAAGCGGATTGGCGAATTCGACAGCAGGTATGTCGCTATGTACGTGTCGCATTGCCTGGTACAGTATTAACCATTACTAAATTTAGTATTATTAAACCATAACCTACATTGGGATCCCCTCCAAGCTCGATTATCATTTTGTAATCCGCTTTATCGCTATTCCTTTATGTGCCTGGTGTTAACTTTTCCAGATGCCACTTTGCCGTTGTGACATCTGGATTTGATCTTTTTATTATCTATAAGTGTATCATACCGAATGAGTTATTCGTTATATAATAATTCGTTTTGCCTGTAGAACGAATTTATTAAATATTTGTAGTCGACGTATATGGGTTACGTATAATTTATATAACACTGAGTAGCGATGTCTGTACAAATCTGTTGCCGTTATCAGAGCTGGGAATATGTCATAGTGTAACGGTTGAGGGGCTGGTACTTGTACATATTTAAATTTTAGTGGAAAGTCACAAAACGATACACGTGCACCAGTAGTCACTTTTAATTGGACATATCATGCATTTCAATAGCAACACATTATTACATATTTTACACGTATTTGTAATCACTCGGTCAGATAATCTCAAATATGAAAAACAGTTTTAACAATGGAAACATTTGATTTTCTTCCTGCTTAGCTGCCCTTCTTGGAAAGACAGGCAGTACAGGTGAGATCTCTATGTCCTCGTATGCTTGTTTTCAATGACGTCCTTCTCAATCATTCGATTCAAAAGGAATTCAATGAAACGTTGCAATATATTATCGATGTCTGAAAATGTACAAAATAATGAAGTGTCCGTAAATCGAATCTACACTGAAAAAAAAAAATGCATTGCACCAAAAAAATATTTCTTTGAACAGTACCCAAGAAATATTTTGATAATTCAAAAAATAATTATTTAACTCGAACTCACTCACGACTCTTGTATATCTTATTTTATGTTTATCACTTTTTTGTCCATTCGGTAAAATTAATATTCGTAATTTTTTCAGGGTCAACCGGAGGAAGCCTAAGTCCGGTGACGTCCCTAGCTCTGAATTCCTTAACAGGGACACCTTTAAACGGTTTTCAAGACTCCCTAAGCAACGCCTATTCGAGTTTGCAACAATATGCAGGTGGGTGTCACGGAATGATTTTCTTACACTGCAGATCCTCGCGTCTTTTTTTACTCGACGGACAATAGAATTAGACGTTCCACGTTGTACGCAGACATAGAGAAACTATTACCTGTAATTCTATTCGACACGCTGTCATGCGTATTATCGTATCAAGTATTTTCTAATGCTTCACTGTGCGCATTAAAGCTCTCATTGGAAAAACAACGGTGACTGTGGAAAAGAAAGAGTTACATAGTGAGTAATTAATAATGAAATTTAGCGAGGAGCTGTTCCCTCGGAAATCAATGGAATTCCTTCTTTGAAGACAGCAATCCGATTCGGTAACGAGTAACGTTCGGCCTTAAAATTGCGACAGTATTTTGGTGATTTCCGTTTGCGTTTTCCAGCTGATCTCGACATGATTTCGAGCGGAAAAATCCATGATTTCCTGAGTGAATACCCCCTTGAAATTTAGCCTGCTTTACGTAGACGTGCCGCTGTTGCGCGAGAAATTGCTACTGCAGACAATGAAACATTGTCTTTTATAATAGTGGAAATATATAGCGAATTTTTATTAATTTAATTAATCGTTATTATCGGTACATATAGCTTTACTCTCGTAGCGGCACAACTTTGTACCTTGTACAGAATAAGCCCTGCATCCGCGAGTATTAGTCAGCTTTATCCGATAATTTGGTCCCCGATGCGCTTACGATCATCTTTCCTCAGGGTTTCCTGCCTTCACGGGATCGAGTGCAGCAGCTGCAGCAGCTGCGGCTGCTGCTGCAGCCGTGCAAAATGCCAACTCCCCCGCCGGTAAACAGATAGAGGGACCCGAGGGTGCCAACCTCTTCATCTACTATCTACCCCAGGAATTCAGCGACAACGACCTCACTTCTACCTTCATGCCATTTGGCAACGTCCTATCTGCCAAAGTATTCATTGACAAACAGACGAAACTCAGCAAGTGCTTTGGTACGTATGAAGAATTATTAGAGAATTAAGGTGTTATGGAAGTGTGATATACGTCGAAAAAAGGAAAATATACAATTTTTTCTCAGACTGGGTGCACCCGATCTCTAGACTTGCTAACGGCGTTGGAGGTTAACTTGTCGGCAGTAATATTTAAGCTCGTTAACCTTTGCAGGATTCGTATCGTACGACAATCCAGCCAGTGCACAAGCTGCGATCCAGGCGATGAATGGCTTTCAAATCGGCACGAAACGACTAATAGTGCAGCTGAAACGATCCAAAGAGGGTAACCGGCCATATTAGTCAAGATCGACGTTTGATCGTTAGTAGGTACTAAACAAATTCAGGGACTTTCGATAATTTAGGTGCAATCCTTCCGTCCAATATGTGGATATTCCGCATCGAATCGAGTTCGCTCTTCGAAGCGTTAGGAATCGATGGTTCCCCGTTTGCATTACCGTAACCTTTAGTATCTCCGGAACGGTATCAATCGACATTTTCTAGTCAACTCGTAGCAATCATTTCGACGAGAAACGCGTTGTACGTAGACTTTTAAATCGTGGAAGCCGTAAGCAACGATCGAATCGCCTTACGACGTCGACGTAAGCTCCACTTCCTCGGTGGAACGTCCTTTACTGTGATATTTCCGAGACTGATTTCTTCAGATACGACGGTTGTCGTATACATATATACCCTTCCCTTCGAGTTTCCGCGTCGGTAAAGGGGAAAAGATAATTATTTGTCCCTCGTCCGCATCGTTGGGCTTTGTATTTCTTTCTCATTCACTCGACAGCGAGTTGCCTGCACATTTTTATATTGTCCTTTAACCGCACGAAAATGTCGACGCCAGGATCGGAACACGAAATTAACGTCTTCCCTTTCGAAGTATCGCTTCCTTGCTTTCATTTTTGGCGCTTTAGTAAAACCGCGGAATCGGGGATCATCGTAACATCCTTCACGTTCGGTTCGTCTTGTTCCTCGCGCGATTGACGTCATGGCCAGGAAAAAATTAATATTTGAACGTTAACGTTGATTTTCCGGGAACGTCGACAGTCGTCTTTTTTTTTTATGCTGCCGTTTAGAGATCGATGCTGCTTCGGACCGATCGAATCTCGCTAAACTAGACTCGATGCCTTCGTGATTCTCGAAATGTGGAATGGGTAAATTACGGTGAAGTGACATCGCATCGCACGGTAGTAGAGGATACGTCATCGCCGACGTCGAATCGCGTAGATTCAACGTCGACGACGACGCCGCGCGATACTTCCGCCGTCGGTCCCGTTTATTCGGTGTGGTGGTGACTAACCTGTCCACGTGTTTGTGTGCCAGCAGGTGGCCTGTGACGTTGTGACCTTGTGCTCTCGACCGGAGTCGCCGTGCCATGTCTGTCTTAGTCGATCGGTCCCCCGATGGACCGACCTTTGACATATCGACCGAACATCTTCCCCCGACACGGACTACCTTCGTTCCCACCACGGCTCTCATCTCCCGCCCTTGACCGCCGTTGAATTCCGCCGTGCCATCGTCAAGTTCTTCGCCGTCATCGATCCCCCCCCGAATCATGAACCCTCCGCCACCTCCCAGGACGAGCCCTCTACCAAGTCGCACTCCGACGTTCGCGACCACCAGTCTCCCTAACCTCCAAATCCCTGCAGCCGCGATGCACCGTCGTCCGGGCCGCCCCTCTTTCTCAAACTTCCGGCATTCTTGTACAGTGGACCCCCACGAACCAATCTCTCCCGATTGCGTCGTTTACTCGGCAATTCGCGGAACGGACAAAAAACACGGACTTCGTTTTCCCCGACCACTTGGTACCCGGACTGAGAGCTTGTTTTATTCGATTCTCAGGGTAAACGATGGGGTACCAAGACGGTGTAATACGCAAATTTCGAGCGTACCATCCGAAGGCAATGCCCGATCGTTTAGCCAGGCAGTTTAATAAATCCACGCCTTTGGTACGCGTACCAAGTTATCGGGGTAAACTAAGCCAGGGACGGACGACAGCTTCGGAGGGTAGAAAGAGACGTTTACCGTGTCGACAATCAAGCTAAACGTGACCGACCGCATAAACGGCTCGACCGATACCACCTCTGTATCCGTATTTACATATGTGCACCCATGCGTGTGCATGCATACGTATTACCGCATATCCGTGTCGACGACGTTCGTGTACGTACCTCGAGTGTATGCACGCGTATGCGACGCACGCACGTGTCTATGCGTGTATGGGCGCACTAACGATATCGCCATGAGACGGATATATACATGTATATATATATTATTTATATATATATCTATATATGTACACACGCGTTGAGAACGAAAGAGAGCTAATGCACATACGTGGATCTTACGAGGAGGTGGAAGATAACATATATTATTGTACAAGATTTAGATATATTAAACGTTGACTGAAAATTATTTTTATCAGACGGATATTGGGTAGACGGTACCCTTCGGGGAAGTAGCGCAATTTAACGCTGCGAGCGCCGCCACGTTGCAGCGCAGTATTAATCGACGGCTCGAATTATCGTTCGATCGTCCGTAGAGAAATCGGTAGCTTACCGTCGGGCCCCTGCAAGGAGATACCAAAAAAAAAAGAAGAGTATAAGAGACATTTTGTAAAGACTTTGTAATAAGGTTGTAACATAACATTGGACCCTAGTGATCGCGTTAACGTAAAAAGGCATGCGTGCATGTGTGCGTGTACTTTGTAAGGCCCTTTTCTTTCTTCAGTTTTTCTCCTCCTTGTCTTTGCACGAGAACGGAGAGGGAGCATCCTCGAACGGAAACGTCGGAATATCTCCGAGTTCCGGGCATTAAGGGGATGCGAAAGTCCGAAGGGTCGATCGTTCATGAAATTTTTTCTCCGAACTAGAGGTACCGAATCGTTTCAAACTTTACAACGTGGATATGGATGTTGTAAGAAAAGTCCCGACCCTCATAAAATTTTTTTTTTATGAAACATTTTTTAAATGTCCATAAACATTTTTAAGAAATTGAAATTTCACGAGTATCGGGACTTTCGTTATAGCCTCCATATTCACATGTAAAGTTCGAAACGATTCGGTACACTAAATTCGGAGAAATATTTCGTAAACGATTAATCCCTCGGATGCCACTTTCGCGTCCCCTTAACTTCCGGTCGAGGAAGCACTTGCCTTATGACTTAACGACGCACGTACATCGCTTCGTATAATAATCCTCCTTTACCCTCGTGCGACGGCCATTTTTCCCTCGTCGCGCTTAATATTCCCTTAACTGTTTTTTTTTTAACGCGCTCCTTCGGTTCCCAAAAAATTGATAACCTCCATTTTCTTCCCCCCTGTATCTTTTACGTTCCTTCTTTGACTTCTTTCGTTCTTTTCCTCCTTTCAATTATTCCTTTGCGTCTCTCTCCGCCATTTTTTCCTTCGTATCCTCTCTCCCTTTGATTCCAAAGAGTGTCGTCATCGCCGCCATTACGTCGCCGTCACCGTCTTCGCTAGTGTCATCAGCTTTGTAGCGAGGCCTGTGGACATCGAATCGCAGAAAAGGAAAGGGAGACCACGGAAACGACACATCCCGAGTCTTGCATGTGCATTCTCCCGGTTCTGGCAAGCCGAGAAGAACTAGCTTCCTCTACCGACATTTTCGAAGTCGGTCGCTACCAGAGGAACGATCTGCTGACTGGACTCTGTGTCGTCGTACGCCAGTTCCCACGTTCAAAATCAAATCTCACTTTCTGTACTTGTATATGTATTTGTGCGCAATATGTACCAAAGCCAGTTCTCGGCATCCCCGATGCGTGTTTAGCCTTACTTGCGAATTTCGAATGGGAAATCTCCCTTAAGTGTCGTCAGGTTTTCAAAACACCGAAATGCGAGTAATTTCAAAATTCTTTGCAATATTTTGACTATATACATGGGGCACTTATAACACCTTAAGATTTCGACTCTCGCCAAGGAGTAGCTATTTTCAAGAGGAATGAAGAGTTCACATAATTCGCCAGTCTCGTGCCGCCTGATTATGGCTGACCGAGCAGGCGACTTCTCTTTAATTCGACTGGCTCGGCAAATTAAAAAATAGGACAATAACGGACCAGTCGAATTAAAGAGGTAAACTCGAGAAGTGAGTCAAAACATGTTTTTCGAGGTTATTTTCAACGGAAGTGTTCGCAAGCGAGGCTGTGCACCCTGAAAAGAAAAAAAGAGTAAATCCACCTCCAAAAATTCAGGTGAAAAAAAAAACAAAATCGATTCAACTTAAAATGAGTTACATCAACTCGAGTTGAATTGTATGGTTGATTTAACCCCACATGTGATTTAGCTCCAAATCTAAGTTTAACTACCTGGTTTATCGAGTCCGCCATATTTAACTCAGGAAATGAGAGGTGAATTTACTCACTTTTTTTTTCAATACGAGTTGATTACCGTTGAAGGGATGTCCGTACGTGCGACAGCCAACTGTGCATTCGGTTCGGCCATTGTTGGTTAACCGAGCTCATAACAAAATGCCAAAGACACGTCTGAATTAACTCGATGTACTTACGTTACGCAAAGACCTAACGACTAACCCACGCGTCGATCCGACCGACGAATATTCGAAAGCCGAGCTCGCGCCAAGTAGAGCCTAGTCATTGCTACCATTTCTTTGTAAAGACGTACTAATTACGGTCGCGAGTGGCGTAATAATTGTCACCTCGATATTCGTTCCTGTGAGAACCGTCGTTTCGTCACGGTACTTCAATTTTTCATTGTCGCCGTCGGGATAGTCACAGCTGCGGCCATTGTCGTTTGCCGCGTCGCACCACTGTTGATTTTAATGTTACTAATGTTTTACTGTTACTATTGTTATTATTGCGAATATTATCCGAACTAATATAACGGCTACGGTAGGAGCGCGTCGAGAAAAATGTTTCTTTTGGTTGGCAGAAATTCCGCCATCTTTCGTTTTTCCTTGAAAATTCATTTCGCTTCGTTTTATCCTACTTGATGAGTATGCAAGTAATTTAATTAATTTAGGAGAGTGCTGCTCCAATTAAAGCGATCGTTTGATAAATCTTGGTCCGGATAAGGGAATACGTAATTCTTTGATTTTTTGTTATGTTAGTACGGACCAGATATATTTCGAGAGAAACAATTTTATTTGTCAATTAAACGAGACATTTTTCGTGCTCGTCAGCGATGAACGACTCCGACGACGTCCTCTTAAGGGGATGGGAAAGTGGCATCCGAGGGGTCTATCAGTTTGTGACACTTTTCTCAGAATTGGATCTATTAAATCATTTCAGACTTTACAACGTGGTTAGGAAGACTCTAAGGAAGATCCTGACATCCATTTAAATTTTTCGAAAATTTGTTTATGGGTGTCGCGATCTTTCTTAAGGTCTCCATATTCATGTGGTAAAATTTCAAATGATTCGATACACCCAGTTCAGAGAAAACTTTCATAAACGAGAAACATCCATTTTCACATCACCTTAAGGCCGGCAGTCATTGTATATTTAACTCGGAATTGCGGATCATGTACTTAACGTTGCACGAAGTATCGATGTACAGTCATGCAAGTTTCGAAAATATTCGTCGCTCATTCCGCATGGAATGAAATTCGAATTTTGACGTTTCGGCCGGCGTGAGACGCATTTAGCGAGATGTGTCGTGATGTTGGTTAGGGGCGTATTACACGTGTTACATTGCACATGTTACAAATCGTTCATTCCTACCTCAGCGGACGAGGAGGGCCACTTTTGCCGTTGAAATCGTCTGTCCGTACTCGCCCTCTCCTTGTCCTCGTTGCGATGCGATTCGAGACACTTAGCGAAAACTTGACAAAATATTTCCCGAGGATCCGTGTTCTTTTTAACGGTCTTTCCCTTTCTTTTATCGTTTTTATCTTGCATCACCTTCAATTCTACCGCTGTTTTAAGCGTAAAAGTGATTTCTTAAAACAACCCGAAGGGAAATACGCGTAAAACTGAGAAAAAGAGAGGACGCATCCAACGGGCTGAACTGCCAAGTGAGAAGGGTTAAGTGGATGTGAAAGCGACGTCATAGGTCTCGTTTGTGAAACTTTCCTCCGAACGGAGGGTACCGAATCGTTTGAAACTTTACATCTTTAATATGAAGGTCACGAGGCAGGTCCCTTCACCCATGAAATTTAAGATTTTTCAAGATTTGTCTATAGACATTTTGGAATTTTTTGTAAGAAATAAAATTTCATGGGCGTTGAGACCTTTTTCAGGACCAAAAATGTGTATATGGTAAAGTTTCAAACGATTCGGTATATCTGGTTTGCGAAAAAGTTCCATAAACGACTGAAATGCCACTTTCACTCCCCCTTTAAGGATAGTTTAACCGGTTGTCGCGCTTTCGCTGTCGCTCGATGTGAACAACGATTTTACGTATTCTTTCGCCCTGTGCCTAGGTGATTTTTTACGAGATACTTTGTGACGAGAGTACGCGCATCGATTCCAGGCCTGTAGAAACGAACCTGGGTTTGTAGGCCTTTGTCAATTTTTCTTTATCGTAATCAGTACCGCTGTAATATAGATACCCTTCCATCCGTGCGAATCAATCGGTCGCATCGGTGAATACATTATTGCACCGAGAGAAATGGATTTCTGGTTAACTGGCTCATTTGCACTCGTAAAAGATTCTCGAGTTTTTAATTGGTCGTCGGTGCGTTTCGATATCCTGGACCTCGGTTTAGTTAAACCGACTCATGAGTCGTTTACATGCAGCTTTCGGGCAATCACAAACGTAAGAGTCGCCGTCAAAAGTGGAATACGAATTAGTTGAATGAGATTTTTTTTGGTATGTGTCTTTTACGATGTCTTTCGATTTAACAAGCGAATATTCCTAGTATTGGCTCGTTTGGGATGCTTAATGCTGTTACCATTGATGTTTAACGTTTATCGCGACGATCACGTGGGATTCTATTAAGGCGACATGAAAGAGTCATTATATATGGTACTTTCATAACACCTTAAGGATTATCGCCGAGTTTACCTACAGAATTATATTATTTGTGTGAAAAAGATGTAAATTTTGGTTACCGCCACTTGAAAACGGATTTTTGTTTATTAAGAGCAATGTCTTGTGATACGCTTCGATCGAAAGTTGCTGCTCGATCGAGATTCGATCGTGTCATCCGAAGTGAGTCTTTAAGGTGATATGAAAGAGTCGTTCTATATATAAAACGTCAAAATATTTATAAAACTTTTCTCCAAACTGGATGCTCCAAATCATTCGAAATTTCAGCACGTGGTTATGGAGACCTTGAAGAAGAACGCAATGCTTATGAAATTTAATTTTTCAAAAACGATTTTTTTTTTGGATTTATCCCCGAGTAGAACCAAGGACACTTTTTATTTTTTTTATATTGAAATTTCGTAAGCATTGCGTTGTTCCTTGGAGCCTCCATAAACACGTGCTGAAGTTTAAAATGTTTCAAAAATATTTTAACGTTTCGATATGTATAAAATGACTCTTTCTTAGTACCTTAAGCTACCAAAGTTAATTATCTAAAATTGGAGAAGACGTGTCTCTTCCTATATTGTTCCTATCTACAGTTAGATATATATTATTTAAAAGTATTATACCAAAAGTCATGTAACAAGTGCAGTGTTCATTTAGAGTATAAACTACTCGTGTAAGACAAAAATGTAGTCCTAAAACGAGCCAGTTACATTTCTCTCTGCGTATAGTCATCGTGAACAAGCAGTTAAGGTGTTTAATAATTATCGTTATTGTTTCAACTTTAAACAGATTTACAATTATATACTATATTATTGCTCTTATCAGGATTACTATTAATTTCTAGATTCGTAATAAAATCGTTATTGCCGTTGTCGCCGATAGAGAGAGAGAAAGAGATAGAGTGAAAGAGAAAGAATGAGCTCATACCCCTTCCCACGTTTTCGTCTACTAGAAAGTTATTGCGATTCGTTCTAATTTTTCTTTTTTTTTTCCCCCTTTTCCTCTGAAAGTTTATATAAGTGGGTGAGTTTTGGTCTTCGCCCTCAATGTTTTCGGTGCCTACGTAAGCACAAATGCTTAAAAATGAGATACTTTGATAAAACGGAAAACTCGTGATGATTTTTGTAAATGTGTAAAAATGTGAACAATGTAGGTAAAAGAAAATCCGCACGAGCAGCGTCACCTTTTGTAAAGAGGTTCCAAAAAATAAATCATTTTTTTCAGCCTGTTCAGGATTTCGGAAAATGCATGACGGTGCGCCACTTTTATGCGAACCATTAATTTACTTAACGAGTGGTGTCCAACCGATGTAGTAGTACCCCGATAACCCTTAAATTTCTTCTATATTTTTGGGAAGATAAATGCATGCAACACGGTTTCTTCCTGAAACTCGTGACAACATACCGTCAGTCTTATAAGCATAACATAATTATTCATATAATCTGTTAGTCAATAGTCATTCATAGGACGGGCTAGAGGTTTGATTGGCGAGGATTTGTGTTAATAGGCGGCAGATTTCCCTGTCAATGCTCAATCTTTCATCCATTTGCTCAAGCTTCTTTTTTGTGACTTTTTCTCTCCACAGAAGCTCCCTCTCTCTTAATTCTACCATTTTCATTTTTAACCGTAATTCTTCCTCCTTTATAGCTCTTTTCCACTCGACGGTACCATCCTTTTCTTCATTGGTTTCGTCAAGTATCTTCAAGTGAGTACGAAGCTGCCGCTCAAATTCCAACTTGTTTTCGGTTAACGTCGAGCTAATAGTAGAGTCTTTAGCACGTGGACTTCGTTTTGAAATATCTGTTGAAGATTCCTTAGGCAATAGTGGACGATTAATGGTCGTTCCTCTTGAAATGTCCAACGCTGATGAAGTATGTGGAAGGAACATAGATGTTACTGTGCATGTGACATTTCTTCGCTTTCTAAGAATGCTTTCCATTTGATCGAACCAAGGAAACCGAACAACCCCTCTACCCGTTTTTTGAATGCTCTCTATTTGTTTGTAACGGCGGAGTAGAGCACTGAACTTCCATCTTGCTTGATTTCCATTTATCTAAAAATAATGAAGCATTTGTAAAAGCATTCTTAGACACGATTAAGCTGATTTATGTAATTTTCACAATCAGTCATATTGTTTGATCAAAATTATGTTACCATATGACCGGTTTCTTGTAAATCCTTTGCCAGATTATCCCAAAATTTGGTCTCCTTTTTTGCTCGAATGTCATCTCCTGTTCTCGATTCGTAAGCTTCGAGGAGAGCCAGAACAGCACTGCTCGACCATGCTGCACCTAAAATAAATAACGTCTTTGATAACGTAAAACTTTAAAGATTATTTTTGACTGATTTAATGGTTACACTGGTAATACTAATTTAAAAATTGAATTTAAAATGTAACTTACTTTGCTTTTGCGGTAACACCTTTGGTTTTTCCGAGTTTTGCAGAGTCGTCTGCGCCGTATCTTCTGTTTTAGAGATATCTGACGAGGTGTTCTTTTCCATAACTTCAATGTCCTCTGAGTTGGAAAACAGAAAACCCTCTTCATCACAAAATACTCGGAGACCATTGAAACAAGAATGATTTGGAACTTCATCCAATGTCGTCATTTGTGCCTTACACATGGAGCATGTGTATATTTTATCCTATAATGATGGCAATAAACTTGACTAACCAACTAATTGAACTAAGTAAAAAATGCATTCAAGAATACACATTGCTTAGTTCATTTTCTGATATGGTACCTGAATAAGATGTGAATATTTACACAATGTACAGGTCATTAAACGAACATTTGCCTATGGCATGTGTCAATAAAATTTAACAGAGTTACAATATACAAATTTTATACAACCGATTATATGATCTTTCTGTAATTGCACACATTCTAACACATTAACTGAATTTGACAATGATTCCATTGCTCATCCGTCATAAGAAACAAAGAGGTTATGTAGATCACGAAACATAACTTTCAAAGCATAACAAGAAAGAAAAATAGAAATAAATAAATCATATCGGCAAATTAATATTTTGACAAGATGTGTACGATATAAGTCACGCGCATTTGTACATTTCAAACCAAAAATTGAATTTAATACGCACTTCATCCATCTTGAATCAAGGTTTTCACCGATGAATTAAAACGTAATGAGAAGAGCATCTCTATTGTGAAAGATAGGATCGTTTCATATTTTAATACAGATTCATTTCAACAGAGGAGCTCAAGTAATTTTCCTTCTTTTCTCTTCCTAAATTTCTTTATCTTTTTCTCTTTTTCTTTTTCCCTCCACTCGACATATGATTTTTTTTGTCCTTCATTGCGCTCTCCATCTCCTTTCCCATAAGTAGATATCGCTCAGGTAAGACTGTCAAAATAAACGAATCTCGTCTGTCAGTTGTCAAAGTTTTTATAATCAATGTATAATTTTTGTATAACATTTTACAATTGTGGATTTAGTTTAACTATTTTTCTTGAAGGTAGTGAAAGCAGTGATGGAGGAAGAGCAATCCCTTTTAAAATCAACGCTCAATGATTTGCACGTACAATTTCAAGAGATTAAGAAATTTAAAAAGATTGATAACTTCCAAGAGAATGACACTGAAAGTGTCAACCTTTCAAGTCAGATGAAAAGTCTTATCGATGGAATGTATGCAAAAATTGAAAATATTATTTATGAAAACGATCATTCGCCGAACCTGTGCTGTACGAAGTTAAGGTGAATTTAAATAAAACACGTTATCACGGCTGTTGAAATGACGATTATTTTCTTTGTTATATTTTAAATAAAATATATACATTAGTATTGTATTTAACATAGTATAAGAATTATACTACATTCTTTAGAGCATTTGGTATTATCTATTAAATACGTATATTTTCAACATTCACCAAATATTTATATACTGTCTTTTGTGTATAACTTACAGTTTACGATTACTGGCAATGAAAACTACGTTACTTTATGAAAAATCAAAACTACTCGTCAATTTAGGAAACGAAAAGCTAGCCGAAGAACTTCTTTTCAAGGCATTCAATGATATAATCAAAGATATAGCGAAACCTCATATCGTCTTCCTAGCATTTAGGATAATTAATCACTATTCTTATTTACTAACCAAACGAGAAGATTTTGAGAAAGCAAGGGAGCTTTTAGAATTGGCTGAGACAATTTACAAAGAGCTAAAAAAAACAAATCCTGTCATAGTGTTTTATTCAAGTGATGACCTGTTTTTTCCTGATATCAATGCTTTACATTCAATTGATTCTAACAATAAATTGGAACGTCTTGTGACAAACAATCTGCAGATGCTGGGATTTATTTACAATAAGCAAGAACTGCACGACAAATTTGCCGAGTATCACCATGAAGTTCTTGAAAGACAGATCGTGATACGAGACGGTAATGCCACAATGTGGGCAGTTAAATGCGCCAGATTGGCATCGTACTTTTTGACAAAAAACAGATTTAGGTAGGATGCTTTTTAAATCGTGTGTAAATATCAATTCCATGTATAGATTTGATTAATTATTGATATTTGAAATAATTTTAACATCGAGTTCTTCCGTTCTAAAGAGAAGCAAGACACCATCTAGCAGCAGCTATGTCTGTGCTTTACAGCTATGAAAAAGAGCTAAAAAAAATGGAACCATCGAATAACACGATTGTTAGGTAATTAGACTCACTACTTGCACACTGGAATATATAAGGACAAAAAATTTATTTTGATGTTGACGGTGTTGTATTCATAGTTGGCAAGAGTTACAACAAAAATTGGCTGACATAGCTAAGTACTGGGTGAAATATGGACTCTTTCTCTTTGGTGCATCTAAAACAAACATAGTATCCCACTTCTGTGGCGACTCGAATCAGGCTTTAGAGAAGGTCTGGGCTGTTCCGTTCAAATTCAATGACCTAAATAAACCATCCACTTTGAGGGAAACATATTTCAAAAACGCATATTTAAACGAGATTGCCTCCAGTGGTATGAGATTAGGCACTATCCATAGAAACTTAGAAGACTCAGCGAACGAGAAATTGAAATCGACGAGCTGTACAGAGAATGAAACGTCACACACTTCACCAGATTTAACAGAAGATGCTGTGGAACCTGAAAAGATAATCATCGAAAATTACCAAGGTATTACTGTACAATAAAATATTGTAACATTTAAATTCTCAATATTTCCCTACATTATAATTTTTCCTAAGCCCATTCTACTTTGAATACAAATTACATATTGATTATGTGACATGACAAATTACTTTCAGGACCACTGTTATTTTTTAAACAATTAAATCTATCAAAGTACGAAGATCAGGTTGCAGTAAACACTATCGAGACCACTGCTCAAGCTAGATCACTTTTTCTTTATACGCATTCGTGGCTTAAAAAAGCCAAGGATTTCTACACACTGCGGGAACATCCTGTAGAATATGTTAACGCAATCTTAGATCTCAGCGAGCTCTACAGATACCTAGCATTCTACGAGGAGGATATAGAAAGGTAATTTAATAGGATTCTCATAAGAATATGTGAACAATCAAGGCTTATTTACTGTTAGTATTAAAAACCCGGAAATTTTAAAATAAAATTTATTTCAAGGCTTTTCGGGGCTGTTATTAAAAAAATTATTAAGAAGTGTCTTTTCTTTTAATTTATCAGCCAATATGCTGTACAAAAGCTACGGGCAGACGCTCTGGAAACTCTCAGCGCAGTTCTTAGAGAAGTCCGACCGCAATGTTACATAGCAGTATCGGTGGAACTTCTCCGCGAATTGGCGGAAGTCCAGCTCGAAATGACGGGATTAAATTTACGGCGGATTTATATAGCTCAGGATGCTTCGCCCGATAGCAGTGAAGCTGCTGTCCACAAAATGGAAGCTCTAGCCGATATCCACTCTAAATTGGAACACTTTGGCGACACTCTAGGAGGTAATGAAGACACTGCTGATTTGGGTTCGATTCCTATATCTGACATGGTGGAAGATGCTTGTCAGTACTTTAACGTGTAGGATACTTCAATTAATAAACAATTTTATGAACAATTAGTAATATACAAATTATTTATACATATGCCCCGCACCATTCCCTAAATTGCTCACGGTGTCTTATCACCGTGGCTTATGCGGGGCAACTGCTGGTCCGCCGTACCTNCGTCATGCCGTCGACTCGCGCATGCTCGTAATCAAATCTAGGGGTCTTACTACCTGAACCTTTTGGAAAAATCCAACGATCGCGGCCCGAAGAGCCGAGAGAAGGATGCATAGATAACGTGGATTACCGAGTTGGGCCGTCGTAGGGGATATCGGGCGGCGATGCCCGAACCTCCTGTATTCTCCACCGAGGGCAGCGCGAATGCATTTAGCGAATGGTGCGGGGCATATGTGTACATAATTTGTAGATTACTGCTGCAATATTGTTTATAACTGAGCCATTAGACGTAGTAAGTTTAGAAAGTAAGGTGAATGCACAGCTATAATCAATTTGTTGCCTGCCTCCGCGAGCTTTTCCTTTGCGTCCGCCAGAACCCCAACTTTTTTATACAACTTTTCAATGCTATCGGTACTCATATTGTGTAATTGAGTAAGTCGCTGTGTTTTGAAATTCGCNACTTAATTACACAATATGAGTACCGATAGCATTGAAAAGTTGTATAAAAATTTTCGGGTTCTGGCGGACGCAAAGGACAAGTTCGCGGAGGTAGGCAACAAATTGATTATAGCTGTACATTCACTTTACGTTCTAAACTTATAGCGTCTAATGGCCCAGTTATAAACAATATTACAGCAGTAATATTGTTTATACATATGCCCCGCACCATTCGCTAAATTGCTCACGGTGTCTTATCACCGTGGCTAAAGGGGGGGGTAACAGCTGATCCGCCGTACCTGGCCGTGACCCCGGGCTTTCAGATTAGTCGAAACCGCGTTCTACGTCATGCCGCCGACTCGCGCATGCTCGTAATCAAACGGTCTGACTACCTGAGCCGTCTGGAAAAATCCAACGATCGAGGCCCGAAGAGCCGAGAGAAGGATGCATAGATAACGTGGATTACCGAGTTGGGCCGTCGTTGGGGGATATCGGACCGCAATGCCCGAACCTCCCGTAGTCCCCACCGAGGGCAGCGCAAACGCATTCGCGCGAGCCAGCCTATCGAGAGTCTCTCAACTCATCACTATATTTTCTATGGACACCTTTCTCGGGACTGCCCGGGACGACAGCCATATCTTACCGTTTCCTAGCGTGGTGCGTTGCCGGTGTATTATAGGCGAATCTGAATTTCCTCCGGAAAAATAGTTCATGTTCCGACTCCCCAACGAATCGCGAATTTCAGAACACAGCGATTTACTCAATTACACAATATGAGTACCGATAGCATCGAAAAGTTGTATAAAAATTTGTTCGATAACAGATGCATGTATTGGTGCCCTAGTTTCTGCTCTGAAAACATGTAAGCTCATTGTTTATTATGTTTCTCTCATTTTGTACTAAATTTCCAATAGTGTGTATGAACAATGAGCATACGAAACACCTAACACAACTTCTAACAGTGCGTTTCAGTATCTTGGGTTTGTTGGGTTCTTGGGTTCCATTCCGGTTAACGAAATAACAATTTCGACGTCTTCATGGTGATATAAAATGCATTTCGCCCTCTTATTAACCTCTGCGAAGTGCAATCGTTTGTTCCATCTGCAGTGCAGAGCCGTTTTCCAAGTTTTCAGGATTTTCAACCACAAAGATGCTGCGCCATCCCCAGGAAGGATACCCCCAGCAGCGATTTGTATTCATCAGAGGATACACACAACCGTCTTCTCCGTATTACTCCGGGGGCTGACGCTTCCGAGGAAACTTCTCCCTCGTTACCATTCATCAAATTAATAAACCATTCCGCGTCCCTTAACAGGAAGGTACCTACTTTGCGCACCTACTCGGCCCTCCAGCTTCGCAACGCGCAACTTCCTTGTGTGGGTTTACATTCACGACGACGTCCGTGTTCCCCGCGACCAGCCTGGTACTCGCAGACGGGACTTAACCATTTGTTGCCTTGAATAAGAAACATCCAGCCCCTTCTTTAACGTCCCCTCGACCCCTGAAAGGACGGAGTTTCTGTCCGGCTACTTAGGAGATGCTCCTCTTCGTCCTTTTGTCGCCCTGCTTTAGCTCGAAACAAACGCCGTCGAAAGCTCCTCGGTACTTTCCACTGTAATCGCATTCGGATGTCCTGGCTGGGAGAATATCGGAACTTATTCTTTGCCTCTTCCTTCGTTTCCAGATTTAGGTATTTAAGACCTTTGACGTCAATCATACCGGACGAACTTAGAGGGGTTACTTGCTCCTCATCCCTATTTTTCTAGTTGGGATCAGAAAATGCAAAACCACGGCTTTGATCTTGGCCCTGGTCTTGCTAGCTTGAGTTGCGATGAAAGGGTTATATCTGAGAGTTCAAATTGTCCATGAAAGTATTCCCCCAATGCAGACTTCAACATAAATATAAATGTCGATAGCATGACCAACCAGCTAATGTTCCCACCTGACTATTCAAAATGGCATTGCTCCCAAAAAGGGAGCACATGAATTTCATTTCCCCGTCGTAGATTAAATGTCTCGGCGCCGTTCATATCGTCTTTACTACCATGAAACAATCGAAGACCAATTGTAATGAACACGTGGCGAATTCTGGAACCTAATGGAAAGCGACGAAATGAAATGTCGTATGATAAATGAAATAGGGAGTCCCTGGAGGGAAGGCGCCGTTAATTGAAACCTAGTCGGGTGGGGAAATTCACGCTTGCCGTCCTATTAGTACATATCGACTGGTAGATGCATCCTTCTGGAGGTGCGCGAAGCGCGACAGTGCAGAACAATGGTTCCGAATCGAATCTAGTGACTCGTATCATGGCCGCCAGCCACGGTCTCGCGTTTCTCGCCTTCTCTCTACCGAGAAGACCGCAATATTTCCGCGACGGGACCACCCTCCGAGGCGATACGGAAATGCTACTTTGGGAAATGGAACGTCATCCCGCCGAAGAGCCCCGGGTGGAACGACTGGGGAGTCCCCTGGCTTTCCCGGGGATCCCGAGAGATGGCGCTGGCTCCGAAGGCGCGACCTCCAGGGGATCGGATCGAAACTAAGAACAAACTGTCACGCCCCCAATCCCAAGCCGGAATATCCCTTAAACCTGAGTTCCCTCGGACGGAAATTTACGCAAATATGGGCTGGACGTATCCTTCACGTCCTTTTCAGTTTTCCGACTGGAAGAAAGTCCAGATAACCTCACTTCTTTATCCTAATGTCCGTCGCAACACATGTTATAGGGAAATTACCCAACCCTGGATATGGCTGGTCGGTTTATTAAACGATAAAGTGCTTTTTGTAAATAAACTCAAGTAAACCGACCATCTATCCGTGTTATAAAAAATGGCTGGGAGTTGTAGAAAAGTCTGAATTTCACAATCTAGCTGCCATATCAATTTTAATAACCAGAAAGGGAATAAATCTTCGGGCCGAAGGGATGAAGACTTGTTCTTGGGGATTTTGCTGGAGGTGGCAAGTGAAATTTGACAAATTGCCCCACATCAGAGGCGGTTTTTCCCGACTTGGCGCAATTATCGGAGCGCGGTGCAATATTTTAGCCGAGCTTTTACGAGGAAACATGGTCGTGCCATTTTAGCCCGGAATAGGGTCTAAAGCGACAGGTGTTGCAAAGCGAAGGAGACCCATCAAGATGGGTGATACCGTGACAAAAGTACGGTCCCACCGATCCTGACGTCTCGTGGAAGTCGCGTCGAGGACCTCGTCGCGTTATGGCGTCGTAAAGAAGACGTCGCCGTCGAAAGCTCACTAAATAGGAATAAGATGGAACCGGTCGAGGAGGTAGAGAGAAAAAAGAGCGCGATGTAATGGAACGGAGCTTAAGTGCTAATAGGTTCTAGATCGAGGAGGGAGATTTTGGACGAGGTCCTTTACGGAGAAGAGATCCTCCCTCGGGACTCCCGGGACTTTTAAGGGATAAACGGGATTTAATGCAACGGCCGAGGGCCCCGATTTACTCCGCTTAAAAGGAAAGTATAACAAGATATTCGGGACCTCTTAGACTGGCCGACTTAAGGTGAAGTGAGACCCCCTTCAAATGGGTCAATTCGAATACAACACTTTTTTTTAAGGGTGTTGGACCAAACTCTCCGAAACTTTGACACATCACTCGTGATCATCTAAGAATTGTCCTGACACTTTTAAAATTTGGATTATTTTTTTTTTTTTTTTAATGTCGAGCTCTCATATTTCGATCAATATACAATTATTGGCGTGCGCGTTGAAACGAAATTATTGAAATAACAATCACTAGACTGTCATTCTCCGTATCTAAATGAACTTTTTACGACATGCAAAAAACACGCGACATCAAATTTTAACAGACTGTATCAGTGGTTTGGTCAAGAATTATTTATAATTTATATATATTTCAGAATTGGTTACAGAAAGTCACGTTGAAGTTCCAATTACGTGGGAATGGTTTAAAGATTCACGGCGAGAGGTGAAGAGAGCAGCAGACAAAGATGTGTAGGTGTTGTTTGAAAATTGTCACTCTACTCCGAGCCAGCGACGTCATGATTATTTATAAGCCCATGCAAATTACAACGCCTCGGGTGGAGGCGCCTCGATTAAAGCGCCCGCAAATGTGGAATTTGTCCCAGCCATTACCCTATTAATCAAGTAAAATGCGCCCTCTTTTTCCTCGTTTTCAGGATATTAATCACGGCATTGAAAGTACACCAGACTAGGTACAAAAGAACGCCCTGAAATTAATGTTGAGGTTGCCGATCACATCTCATGGCACAAAACATCAACCAGGTACAAAAGAACGCCCTGAAATCAGTGTTGAAGTTACCTATCACATCTCATGGTACAAAACATCAACTGGAACGAAAATAACAAAAGTTAAGTCCAGATATGAATTCAATAAGCTGGTAATGATGGATCGCCAGATCGCCCCGGTACCCAAAACAGCAC